TCTTTATTTCAGTTAATCCCTCCTTTAATTCTAACTGTGTATCCATGATTTCTAACTGGTCCTTTTTTATGCTCTTGAGGCCCTCCCTAAGTTCACTGAGGTTCTCACTAAGTTCATTGAGCATCCTTATAAGCGGTATTTTGAACTCAGTATCTGTTAGGTTGCTTATCTCCCTTTCGCTTAGTTCTTTTATTGGGGTTTTGTTCTGTTCTTTCATTTGGGACCTGTTTCTTTGTATCCTCATTTTGGCTGCCTCCCTGTGTTTGTTTCAGTGTATTACTTAATGAGAGGTATGGGGCTCGCTGAGACCCGATGCTGCTCATTTGAAAGAATTTAGGAAAAACCTGAAGCAGGATCCAAGACCGGCCAATCCTATGGTAAAGCAAGTGGCAACAGCTTGGGTGGGCTAGAAAGTTGTGTGGGGCGGGGCGGGGCGGGGCCTCAGGGAGTCAGCAGGGCGGGGCTACCAGTGTGAGCCAGGTTGCTGGAATCCCAGATATGGCTTCTGTCTGCCGCCCCGGGAAGGGCTCACCAAAGGAATAAAGACCTCTGACAGCACGTTTGTCCCCGAGGAAGCCCCCTCTCCAGCCCTCGTTCCAGTGCCAAACAGCTCAGTTCTTCCCTGTGTGTCTCTGGCGCCCCTCGAGCTGCCTCCCCTCCAAGCTTAGAGGGAGAGAGTCCGATAAGTCCGTGCGCGGGCCCTTTAAGGAGCTGCCTGGGGCTCCAGCCTCCTCAGCTTCCCTGAGCCTCAGTTCCCGCTGGTTTTTCCAGCCAGAAGTTATGGGGACTTCTGTTCCTGGCACTGGAACCCTGAACGGGGCACCTGGTGTGGGACGGGGACCCCTCAGTCCTCAGGAAGGAACTTCCCAGGCACGGGAGCGTCCTGATTTTTATCCGCCACGCTTGGGTGTGGGACCAGCCCGTCGCGCCGCCCCCCCTCGCACCGCCGCTTCTCCTACCGGTCTGGATGTAGCTGCCTTTTTTTTTTAATTCCGTAGTTGTACGACTTCCATTCAGCTTGATTTCAGGCGGTTTTGAATGATGGTTGTTCTGTAGATTAGTTGTAACTTTGATGTGGTTGTGGGAGGACGCGATACCGCGTTTACCTACGCCGCCATCTTGACCGGAAGTTCTGAACCTCAGTTTTTCTATTAACTGCTAAACTTACACTCCCTCTACTATACCATTCCGCCATACCAAGTATGCAGCACCAACTGATATGACCACTAATATGTAAATAAAGTGGAAATGCATAGTTATTAAATTATATATTTGTATAAATTAGTAAGCATTCTACTTATACTGAAAAACTATTTTATTGCAAGAGACTTGGAAATGATTCCAGTAAAACCATCTTACTGGATGGACACTGTCTTATCAAATAACTATGCCAGGCAACTGGGAAATCGAGATTTCCTCAGTTCTACACTGCATAAAATAAGCATTTGGAAATTATTTAGCAGAAATCAATAAGCATAAAATATGGCTTATATTATTATATAAAACTTGATGTATTCTAAGATACAGACAGCAAGCAAACAAAACAGAACTAATCCAAAGCCAAATGATAGTTGTAATAGATGTAACAAATAATTCTGTTTGCTCTTTTAGGATTTAAGAGGTTATCTTAATGCTGTTTCAAATAGCTTTTTTCTTTATATTGAAAAGAGATATTTAATGGAGTTTAAATGTGTAACTTTTAAGTACTACACACAGCTTTTGTATATGTTAGCAGAAATAAAATGATGAAATAAAACTCTCCCAACAGATTATGCTGACTTTTAACTTTAAAGAAAACAGTTACTTAGCGGGGCCAAATGGCTCAGTGGTTGAGTGGTGACCCATGCACCAAGAGGTCGCCAAATCGATTCCTGGTCAGGGCAATGCCCAGGTTGTGGGCCCAATACCCACGGGGGGCATGCAGGAGGCGGCCAGTCGATGTTCTCTCTCATCAATGCTCCTATCTCTCTCTCCCTCTCCCTTCCTTCCTCTCTCTAAAATCAATAAAGAAAAACAAATAAATAGAAAGAAAAAAAGAAAGAAAGAAAGAAAGAAAGAAAGAAAGAAAGAAAGAAAGAAAGAAAGAAAGAAAGAGAAAGAAAAAAAAAGAAAGAAAACAGTTACATAAACCACAAATGACGGCCCAGCCTGTGTGGTTCTCCATTTCTCTCTTTCTAAAAAATCAATACAGAAAAAAAATTTTTTGCCCTGGCCGGTTTGGCTCAGTGGTTAGAGCATCGGCCTGCGGTCCAGAGAGACCCGGATTCATTGTCCGCTAAGGGCATGTACCTCGGTTGTGGTTTGTCCCCGGCCCTGGTTCAGTCATGCAGGAGGCAGCCACTTGATGTGTTTCTTTCACATCCATGCTTTTCTCTCTCTTCCTCCTGCTCTACCTGAACAAAAAATGGAAAAATGTCCTTGGGTAAGGATAAAAAACAAAAATTAAACCACATATGACATAAATGTTGCCAGGGTTTTTATAATTTTCTGATCATAACCACAAAAAAACAAAATATAGTAGACGCTGTCTACTGGCATGTAGTATCTAGTCCCATCTCCTCTATCCTCTCTCCTGTATCAGAGGCCAGAATGCTAGAATCTACATTTCTAAGGTCCTTTGCTCTGGGAATTCCAAATTTGATTTTTCTTCTTTCCTTATCTATATGCCTTTCATTTACTTTTCTTGCTTTCCTGCACTGACTAGGACAATTCTGAATAGAAATTGTGGGTGACCATCCCTCCCTATTCCTAATGTTAGGCAAAATCATTTAGTCTTTCACCAGTAACTATAATATTAGCTAAAATATTTTCATAAATATCTTTTATTAAGTTGAGAAAGTTCCAGCTCCCTTCTAATCCTATTTTTCTGAGCTTTTATCATGAATGAATGATAAATATTGTTAAATGTTTTTTTCTACATCTATTGAGATGATCATACAAATTTTGAAAATTCAATTGTTTAGTTGTTGATATTATAAATTATATTGCTGATCTTCAAATGAGAAACCGATTCTGCATTGCTGTAATAAATGGTACTTTAGTATGATGTATTACCCTTTTTACATAAACTCTATTCAACTTGCAAATATTTTGTTAAGAAATATCTTTGTTTTTTATGCCAGAGTAACTAATGTTGGCCACATAAAATAAATTAACTGCTCCCTTCCTCCTGTTTTCCTAAGAGTTTGTATGTAATTCGTATTATTTCTTTATTAGGTTCACAGAATTCGCTGCAGTCCATCTAGAGTCGGAACTTCCTTTTGGAGAGGGTTTTTAATTACAAGTTCAATTTCTTGAGTAAGGTTGTAACTGTGTCTTTGATGGAATTTGTCCATATATCTAAGTTATAATATTCCCTTCCCTTCCCTTCAGTATTTGTAGGGTCTATACTGAGTCTCTCTTTTCTGATATCAAAAATTTCTGCCCTCTCTCTCTTTTCATTTTCCTAGTTAGTGTGATTATAGTTTATCAATTTTATGGATCTCATCAAAGAACCAGCTTTGATTTCACTGATTTTTTTTTCTATAATTTCCCGTTTTGCATTTCTTTTCTAATTTTTTTTTTTTTTTAATTCTCACCCGAGGACATTTTTCCAGTGCTTTGTAGATAAAGTGTAAGGGAGAGAAAGAGAGAAACATTGATGTGAGAGAGACACATTGATTGGCCATCTTCGACACGACCCCCACCGTGGCTGGAAATCAAACCTGTAACCCAGGCACGTGCCCCTGACCCTTCGGTCCTCAGGCCTACATTCCAACCACTGAGCCAAACCGGCCAGGGCTCCTGTTTTCTATTTCAATCATTTCTGCTTTTTATTCTTTTCTTCCTTTGCTTGTCCTGGGTTTGGTTAGCATGTTGTGTTCTAATTTCTTAAGGTGAAAGTTTAAATTATTCTTTCAAAACTTCTGTTTTCTACTATAAGCCTTTAACACTGTAAATTTCCCCTTGAAGTATATCCCATGAATTCTGATATATTGTTGTTTCATTTTCATTCAATTCAAAATATTTTCTAATTTCCCTGGAGACTTCCTCTTTGACCCATGAGATTTTCAGAAAGTTATATTTAATTTCAAAATATCTGGAGATTTCCTGGTTATCTGATACTGATTTCTTTCTAAATTCCACTATAGTTAAAGAATAAGGACATATTCCTGAAAAATTATTTGTTATCTGCAAAGTAAAAGTATGGGAAGTAAATTCACTTTTCCAACAGTAAATTAATGTAATGATATTTCCAAGGTCAAGGTGAGATAAGATTAGAGATCAAATCTTCCAGCATTTTTTCCTCTAAGGATATTAAAAGCAGTATGTTCTCTCTCAAAACCCTTCCTAAAAAGGAAAAAAAGCACAATTCCACGTACATCACATCTCATTTGGTTTTTACAATTCTATAAAACATGCAAGACAGATGATGGCGTTTTATACATGAGGGAAGTGAGGCTCAAGAAACTCCTTGTCTTATTAGTCTGCTATGTCTCATTATTCTTGAATTATCCCTCAAAGATAGAGCAAGGTAGATCAATTTAAATCCTTAAATAATTTAAAACCTCCTATTAGCCACTGTTGGAATCACCACCACTTCAGTTCAGAGTAAGTTACAGTAAAAACTGACTAGGCTTAAGTTTTATCATCTTGACTTCTCATACCCATTCATTATTAACAAGGTTCAGATTATAAAGAACTGGTTAAACCTCAGGAAATAAAAAGTAAATAGGCAGAATATATAGGGAGAAAAATGAGACCCCAGTTTAATAAACTATGTAGCCATATTGTTGTTCATGTAGACATTAATATGAAATGAATATATCAAATTTTCTCTCAAATTCTTACTGTTGATTAGGATCTAAAACTAAAATATCATCTCAATATTTATATATTAAAACATTAATATTTAATATTTTGAAATATTAAAATATTTATCCTATTTTATTCCAAATTAAATTTTTACACTCTAACGTTATAGAAAGTAAACGGCTTTAAGGGTCAGGGGCCACTCTCACCATGTATGTGCTGACTCGCGGCTGCAGAAACGCCCTCAGGAAGCATCACCACTTTGGCTCAGGTATCAGTAGCAACAGCGATCAAAATTAAAACTAAAAAGAAAAAAAAAATTAAATACTGGCAAACAAAATGCATTCAATTCTTCAAGAAAGTCTTAAATTCAAATTTCACATTCAACAATTTCATCAAGAGAGCACTAATCCTGGAAGTAGTTCTTTTTACATTAAAAGCAAGGAGCTAATAAAGTATGTGAGTTTCTGTATTATTCCACTCCCTATCCTAGAGTAAGCTCTAAAATTAACTTCAAGGAATCATAGTAAATAGTAGCCAAAGAGCAGGAAAACAAAATGCCAAGTATATAGTAAGTTTATTCAACTGAAATGACTAATTCATCTACCCAACAACCACCTGCACATTTTAGGCTTTGTTATTGCCCACAGTGAATTGAATACTGATCCAAGAACTCTATCAGACATGAGCATTTGTATTAATTTCACACAAAAATATTTAAACTCAATAAAAATCTTAGTAGTCACTATGTACATATTTTAATAGTATATAGTATGGGCATAAAACAGTAACAAAGACTGAATACCTGCTGGATTGACCCTATAAAGTGCTCCCAAGATAGCTGACATTAACAGCAAACCTGCAGAGCACTCTGACATTGTTCACCATGTGCTAGAGCTGTGAGGCAGAGCTACCTTTTAAAGGATACATACAAGAAAAAGTCAGTGACTAAGCATTTAGTCATTCAGCAAAACTTCACCAAGTGCTTGTATAGATCAGTCCCCTTTAAACACTGCCAACACAAGAACAAACAAGGGCATGTGTGCTCAGGAAAGAACTCAGAGTCTCATGAATGTGACTGTAATATAAGGTAGACACTCCAAAGCAAGAACACTGCACCAGAAGTGGGGTGGGGTGGGGTATATCAAACAGCTCAGGGAAGTCTAGAGAGATGGGAGGAGTCAGTCTCCGGAACGGCCAGGCAGGCAGAGGAAGGGCGAAGTGAGCAGTTTCCACAGTGAAGAAAAGCAGCTTTCAGTCTACCAGAGAGAACTATAATCCACGAATTATACGCAGGCCTTTAGACAACGAGTCAAGATTGTCAGTATCTTTTTGAAAGTATAGTAAGATAGAAAGATCATTCAATGACACTCTGTGCACATCCTATTAGTTTGCTTATTTAAAATTAAAAGCAGCACATAATTTTCTTCCCCTTCCTTCGGAGCAGCTGTAGGGTACACTCGTATTGTATAGAGTAAAGGAAAAAAAATGAGGGGTTTTTTCTAAGTAATTTGCATAAGAGATCACCCATTTCCAAAAGCAGAGAATTGTCCCTGGGTTTTAGATTATCCAGGCCGAATTTTACTTCTCCCAGATGATCTTATTTGCATGATCTTGACTGTAACCAACCACTATAGACTTCACTTTAGAGATGATTGTATCTACCTCACTGTGTTCTGTGTTTTCTGGATGACCATTTATGTTTAGCAACATGTGTTAACTCTTCCTTTGGGTAACACAACTATGAGTTTTCCCTTTTTTGAAAGGCTATGTAATTTATTTTGTTATTACCTATCACCTGGTGAATGCTTTACTCAGGACTAAGCATAGTGCTAATGTGTGACATATATTTTATATTTAACTTAATCTTCACAGGGTAAGTAACATCTCCATTTAAAAATGAGTACATTGAGGACTGGAGGATATCTAGGATAACACAGCTGGAAAGAGGCAGAGTCAGGATAGGTCAATCTAGCCACAGTCACTCTTTCTGGGGGGAGGGCAGGGGAGGATTTTAATTTACTCTTTTTTTTAATCCTCACCCAAAATTTTTCCATTTTATTTTCAGACAGAGTGAAAGGGAGAGAGAGAAAAAAACATTGATGTGAGAGAAACACATCGACTGGTTGCCTCCCACATGACCCGGACCAGGCCTGGGGACCAAACTGCAACCAAGGTACATGTCCTTGACCGGAATCGAACCTGTGACTCTGGTCCCTGGGCTGGCGCTCTAACTGCTGAGCCAAATCGGCCAGGGCTATTTTATTTTATTTTTCTATTAATTATTTTTGTTACAGATGTTTCTCCTTTCCCCCCCATTGACACCCTCCTCCCAATCCCCCCTACCCCCCACAGCATTGTCTGTGTTCACTGGCTATGCATATATGCATAGAAGTTCTTTGGTTTATCACTTCCCTCCCCTCCCCCACCTCCTCTGAAGTTTGTCAGTCTGCACCCTACTTCTATGTCTCTGGGTCTATTTTGCTCATCAGCTTATTTTGTTCATTATATTCCATAAATACTCTTTTTAATTACTGTGTTAGATGCCCTCCTTTTGGACATGCACCCATGCATTCTTCCTTCCTACAGTGTTGCTAACATATCTAACGTTAAGTCATAAGCCTATATTTATGTAGTTTATAGTTATAAACTATAACCATAAGGGTCTTAAAGAATTAAGTAGATTTTGTGAGCATGCTACGTAATTTTACAGGGCAAAATTTTCTTTCACTCCTCTGAAGTTACAGGTTAAGGTTAAATGTGAAACCCAGCACCTCTACTAAGAGGTCTCATGCAGCAAGCACAGGGAAACACATTTACATGCAATGCCACAATTCAAATTGTTGATGTCCCCATGGTCAAGCTGAGTGGTGCTAAACATGGTCCTCTGCGGCTACAGTCTAGGAACAGAGGTGCCATGTAATTTCCTACCAGTGGACGACCCCAACATAAATGCCCTCTTTTCTTCTAGTTTCCAAGCATCCAACTTGTCTCTGGCCTTCAGAATGCAACCTAGTTCGGCTTCCTTCACCCACTCATTCTCATTGCTCTAGCTGCTCAATAACACTCATTTGATTGTGGTAATGTGTCTGACTGTGTGTGGTCCTACCTTGGAAAATCAAAGTCCAATCCTGCATCTAAAGAACCTCTTGATCCACCAGAAAAGAGCTGTAAAAACAAGGGATCAGCATTCACCATGGTAAAGGTATATGCATGGTATCAGGAGAGCGCAGGGGAAGGGGAGCCGCCCCAGAGAAAGGTGTGGCAGGGAAGGAGTCGGAGCCCCGTAACATTGAAGCCTTAATTCAGATGACAGAAGATGAAGACCTAAAATCGGACAGGGGGATTTTTTGAAGGGAAAAAACTTGAGATGTGGGTGTTGGATGATGACGTGGATGGGATGCCGAGATGTACCAGAGGGCGGAGTCGAGGAACACTAAGGCAGCACAGTCTGGCTGAACCCCCTGCAATGATGGACAAGTTCTCTAGGTGGACACAGTCCAACATGGCAGCCTCCAGCCACACAGAGCACTTAAAATGTGACCAGTGTGACTAAGGAACTGAATTTTTTAATTTCATTTTAATTAATGTTAATTTAAATAGCAACCTGTGGCCAGCAGCTATTGTATTCAGCAGTGCAGCTCTGAGGTCACAGGCTTGAGGTAAGAAGCTGAAGGGTTCTTACCAGTATCTGCGAAAAGAGTACCAAGATGAAGAGCACACAGACACTCAAACATCAGCCGCACATGTGAACAAATAAGTAATGAAGGAAGGAACAAACTGGTTGACCTCTAAGGTCTCCTTCCTTTATTATATTTTTTTTATCCTCACCCGACGACATTTTTCCATTTTCTTATTCAGAGTGGGAGGGACAGAGAGGAGGAGAGAGAAACATCAACGTGAAAGGGACACATCGAGTGGTTGCCACTGGCACTACCCAACCAGGGCCGGGGACAAACTGCAACTGAGATACGTGCCCTTAGCGGGAACCGAACCCGGGTCTCTCTGGACCGCAGGCCGGCGCTCTACCAGCTGAGCCAAACTGGCCAGGGCAGGACTCCGCCCTTTAAATCCCCATCAAACAGGTACCTATCCTTGCTCACTCAGGTTTCAAATAAGGTCCTCAGTATGGCGGCACCAAAATGTGCTCATGCTGTCTCCAGATCTCAGTCCAATCCTTAAAATTTTTACTAATACGTTAAAATTCCTTATGCTAGTCAGTGTGGAAAAAAGGAAAAACTCAGCTCAGCATGGTAGCTCAGTAGATTGAACATTATCCCATGGACTGAGAGGTCCCGGATCGATTCCCAGTAGAGGGCATGCAGGAGGCAGCTGATTGATTTTTCTCTCTCACATCGATGCTTCTATCTCTCTGTCTCTCAAAGAAAAAGAAACCAGTAACAACTAAGGAAATTGAAGAGGTAACCAAGACTCTCCCAGCAAACAAAAGCCCAGGCCCGGATGGCTTCACGGGGGAGTTTTACCGAAAATCCAAAGAAGAACTAACACCCATTCTCCTCAAACTATTTCAAAAAATTCAAGAAGAAGGAAGACTTCCAAACTCGTTTTATGAGGCCAGCATAATTCTAATTGCAAAACCAGAAAAAGACACTACAAAGAAAGAAAACTACAGGCCAATATCCCTGAGGAACAGAGACGTCAAAATCCTGAACAAAATACTAGCAAATCGGATCCAGCAACACATCAAAAAAATTATTCACCATGACCGAATGGGATTCATCCCAGGGATGCAAGGCTAGTACAATATTCGCAAATCAATAAATGTGATACACCACATAAACAAAATGAAGAATAAAAACCACATGATCATATCAATAGATGCTGAAAAAGCATTTGACAAAATACAGCACCCATTTCTGACAAAAATGCTCAGCAATGTGGGAATAGAGGGATCATATCTCGACATAATAAAGGCCATATATGAAAGACCTACAGCCAACACCATACTCAATGGGCTGAAACTAAAAGCATTTCCCTTAAGAACAGGAACAAGACAGGGATGTCCACTTTCGCCACTCTTATTTAACATAGTATTGGAAGTCTTAGCCACAGCAATCAGACAGGAAGAAAAAATAAAAGGGATCCAAACTGGAAAGGAGGAAGTGAAACTGTCATTATTTGTAGATGACATGAGATTATACATAGAAAACCCTAAAGATGCCATCAAAAATCTACTAGATTTAATAAATGAATCTGGCAAAATAGCAGGATACAAAATTAACATCAAGAAATCGACAGCATTCTTATACACCAGTGATGAAGTCACAGAA